TTTATTTAAAAAAAGTAAATTTTTTGAAAATATGAGTAAATAATTATAACAGATACAATAATTACACAGCATAGCATACATTCAGACATCCTTAAGCCTATAAAAAGTAGGAAGGGAAGTTCGTTGAACTTAACATAAATATTTTAAATGATTCTCTTTAAAACACGAAACACTTAATTGATGCTGATACAACTTAAAAATATTTTTTGTCTTCATATAATACTTATAATCATCTAATATTTATAATCGTAATAATCTTTCATCGTAATATTTATAATCGTTATAACAACATACAACAAAACGCGAACACAGCCGACGACTGAACTGAACTAACCGCGTGTACAATGTAATATTTAAAACTGTTATAATATATTATAACAGTTTAAAACAACAGTTAGAAAAATATATTACACCAACATAACGAATTAGAAAAATATAACAGTTTCGCCCATCTTTAGTCACCCCTGTTGGCATCGAGCCGAGCTAGGGAGCAGACGGCGGGGCCGGGCTGCACCCGGCCCGCCGCTAGGGCGCGCTCCTAGCTAGTCACGCGTCGCCTGCGCCGATGACGTTCTCCGATCGCATTATAGGGGTCGCGAGAGTTTTTGCACGAAGCCGGGTTGTTCATATATTGAAAGTCTCCTTGTTTTGTCTTAGACTTATGTTAATAGAGCGTGCCATTTGAACTTAAAGATAATTAATTGGACAATAAATAATAAGTGACAAATCTTGCCGTGGAGCGTGGAACTGAGTAGTTGCGCGTCTTGTTAATATAATTGCCGTACGGCCGCCCTGACGTATGTACTGCGCGAACCTGAGTTTTTTGCGACGCGGTCCGGTGATACAGTATTTTTCACAAATAGTGAGTTCGTTATAACGCGGGTTCGGTTAAATCTGGTTGAATTTGATTGGATTAACCTAAGTAACTTGAATTAATATCAAAGAAAAAGAAATACTGCATAAATAAAATAAATAAATAATTATAATTGCATAAGTTGATACAAAATGCTATGCAATAGCTTTACTGCGGCAGTCCCCGAGTGCCACACGTCTTTATTTTTTTATCATTAGTGTTCCCAATGCTCACAGGAAGACCAGGCCGCACATTTAATTTATTTGTGGATTTCCAAAAATTTTTGAAGTCCTTATTACAATGTTGAGTAGCTATTATGTCCATTTTAATTTGTTCTTCCCGATTCTGGCACCATTTTAACTTAGATTTAAATTGACGTCTGCTCTCACACATACGATCATACACAATGCCCCCTTTAGGTTTGCCACATTGTAACCAATTATCAAATTGAATCCTGAACTCCCTATGAGCATCTTTTACATATTTATTCCATCCGACTACAGTTTTCTTTTTGGCAGTAATGGCACTACCTTCATATGTCATAATTGCGGCCTCGCTTAAGGTATTTACTATAGTCTCATACATCTTATCTAAAGTCTCTTTGTGATCTATACATGTACACATACGTTCACAACAATGGCAAAACTCTACCGGTAAATGCATATCTCTAAATTTCGAATTACAATATTCTTTATATTTGAGTATTTGATGTGGTTTTCTGTTGCCCCATATTATTTTATTATTCTTAACTATATTTTGAGGTATTTTAGACCTCACAATTGCTAGGTCACAAGTAATACTTAAAGGGAAATGATCCGACCAATAAATACTGTGTAAAATTTCAACACTGCGCACAGTTTGGTAAGCGGCAGTAGTAGTCACACAGTGATCGAGCCATCTTCTACAAACTACCGTGTGCATCACTTACATATGTAAAAGAGTCAGAGTACATACCGAGTTTGTCCATATCAGCGCACTGCCAACACTGATCCGTACAAAACTTTAATAATTCATCATCAAATAGCTCATCTGGGTGAGCATTAAAATCACCAACAATGTAAACTGTTTCTATCGCACAACTTTCAATGATAGCACTAATTCTACCTAAACACTCCGTGAACTCAATTAGGTTTTCATTTTTATCCACTGGCATATAAATACTGAATACCAATATGGATCGGTCACCACTAACGGCCTTTATTGCACATACCCTAGGATTTTTACAGTCGATCACTGTCACTGAAGTAAACGCCACCTTACGCCACAAGATCGCAACACCCCCCATATGGCCTGCCGCGAAGCAAGCCAGCAGGCGTATTAACTGCCGACGTGCCGGTGCCCGCGAACTCATAGCTAATAGTATTCAAAAAAGGAAGATTATCACACAGCAACCACGTCTTTTGCAGCGCTACAATGTCAGCTGACTGACACAGTGACCTCACACATGCCTCAGAACGCTTAATATTCTTGCAGTTATAAGTTATTAATTTGAATTTATTATCCATTATATTCTTTAAACGGTATTAACATAAAAACCTATTTCTCTTTCTTATTCGTTAAATGAATGAATCTTCTGAAAGAGATTCCATCCGGCCACAAATTATCATCCAAAAAAGTGTTGACTCTATGTTTAGACACCAATAATTTGTAACTATTGTACCCTTTATCCTGTTTCATATCAATCTTTTGTAAGCTTACAATTTCATTAGTTTTTTCTCGTATATAATTAATAATGTCCGTTTCGGCGGAGTCTTTATTGACATTAGAGATAAACAAAGGAACTTTTATATCCGCAGCTTTAAACTTTTCAGTGGACTGAACACTTGCTTTCCCTTTCTGCCCTATAAAACAATTTCTATATCTTTTCCTCTGTACCATAATCCAATCGTCCGCTGGTCGATCTATTTTCCACTCTCTTCCATTACGAACCATTTCTGCCATACTTGGTTTGTTTACATTCGGTAATGTGCATTCCTTTCCATTAGCCCCTACTACCGTACTCACTGGTGGCGATCTCATCATTTCAGAGCCTACTAGGGGGAGATACATGCTTGCACCACATTTTCACTAAATACAAACAAGTTATTTCAGCAGCTGTATGCAAATGCTCCTTGACTGATCACTATATGCCTATGGTAGGTGTGAGCTTTCCTGAAAATGAACCTAAATCGAAAAACAGGTACAGAAATATTGTTGATATCGGCGCAATTAATTTGGACCTTTGCGGTATGAACTGATCGATAATAACTGGCTGTGAAGACGTCAACGAGGCCACTTTTAATCTACAATCAGCTGTAAGCAAACATACTAGTAAAGTAAAATTGAGTCGCACTCAATACAACATCAAACCCTGGATTACTCCCGGGCTAATGAAATGTATGCGACGCAGAGACCAATTGCATAGTCAGGTCCGTGCGAACCCCAATGACGTCGTGCTTAATCTGACCTACAAACGATATCGCAACTTTTGTAATGATCTGCTGCACCGACTCAAGGCTGAGCACGAGAATGGAGAGCTAAAAAACCACAAGCGGAATCCTAAAAAGCTTTGGCAGGCAATAAAAAACGTTTGCGAGGATCCCCAAAGGAGTAAAGATTCTGAGGAACTTTTGAAAAGTGATGTTGACATCAAGTCTTCATTAAATTTCTGTAATAGTCATTTTGTCTCCTCCGGTCAAAAATTGGCTGATCAAATCCTGTCTAAGCTTTCAACCTCAGAGGTCAAATTGAGTGCTTCCGTTGGGACTCCCAATCCTCTGCTTAACTCTTTTTTCTTTAAACCAACTGATTCATTGGAAATCAAGAGACTGATTGAGGGTTTACGTAATGATAGTGCGCCGGGGGTTGACGGATGTACCCCTCTTCTTATTAAATCTATTAAAGAGTCAATTTTGATTCCTCTTACACATATTTTCAACCTTAGTCTTAGTAAGGGCGTATTTCCTGACAGATAGAAGTGTGCGGTAGTAAGTCCGATTTACAAAGCTGGACCAAAGAATAATCCGTATAATTACAGGCCTATATCGCTCCTAACAATCTTCTCAAAGCTTCTTGAGAAGATAGTTAATATCCGTCTGCTGAAGTATATCGAGAAGTTGAAGCTAGTTTCTGATAGACAGTTTGGGTTTAGGGTAGGGAAGTCCACTGAGGATGCTATTATGAATGACCTTCTAGAACTCAAAATACCTCAGTGTGAAACAATTTGTTACGCAGATGACACCGTTGTCTTATTTCATGGTCGATCCTGGAAAGAAGTAAGAAAGCTGGCCGAGAACGGTATGGGTCAAGTGGCTGGGTGGCTGAATCGTAATTTGTTGACACTTAATGCGAAAAAATCCAAATACATGTGTTTCCACAAAATTTGTGCTTCGAATCCGTTGATGCAGAACGACATTCCAGTCCATACTTGTGACATTCTGCAACATTGTGACTGTGAGGGTATTGCGAGAGTGGAGACGATCAGGTACTTGGGTGTAATTGATGACCACAATCTTTCCTTCAAACAGCATATCTCATACCTCTCAAATCGAGTCAAGAAGGTTATTTACATAATGAAGTTGCACAGGAACTGTGCTGATAAAAAGACACTTCGTATGGTTTATTTTGCCCTCTGCCAATCCATAATACAATATTGTATATCAGCTTGGGGTGGTGCCTCCAAAACCACGATGTTGCAGTTGGAGAGGGCACAGAGAGCAGTTCTCAAGGTCATGTATAAAAAGCCCTACCGGTACCCTACGGCCAATCTTTATCGGGATAGCGAGGTTTTGAGTGTACGCCAGTTGTATATTCTATCCGCAGTTTTATAACAAAATACTTAAAGGCTGTGACATCAAAAATTGCACCACTTTGAAAGCTAAACAAATAGTAAAAAGATTAGTTATTTAGTAATTTTTTAATTACTGTTTTAACCTTTGGACTTGTTTAATAATCCTGATCTAAATATTGATAATATAACACACCTGCATTCAATTTTAAACAAAGAAGGCAACAGAGACGTTGCCAACTGAGGATTAAGATGGAATGTCTCAGTCTGTAATTATATTGACTTACTAAACAGGCGTATTTGACGTCAGAAATAGGTAAGAGAGTTGTACCTACTCACGTAGGTTTGTTGTTAAATAAAAATAAGAAAGTTGTGACTTACCTTGACTGTATCGCTGTCTATAATTTTGACAATTAAGGAGCGGTGCCAATCATTTTCATAACAGCTGCTACAATAGTGGCCCACACGCACGGCTCCACGCGCCAGGTATCTGTCTTTGCCGTCTCCTTTGTTGTAGTATTCACTGAATGAAAATGGCATTTAATAATTAATAAAAATAATATTATTAAACAAACAACTGGCTATGTACAGAAGTAGCGACAATCAATGGGAAAGAAAGGCTCTAGATTGGCCCCCCACTAGGATGGAATGACGACTTGGTGAAACATGCATCAAGTCTATGGATGTAGGTGGCTCAGGTCGTGCTTTGCGGCATTCATTGGGGAAGGCCTGTGTTTAGCAGTGGACTTATGAATGGCTGTAATTTTTTAGTTGTTGTTGTTGATAATGATGATAATGATAATGCTGTTGATGCTGATGATAATGATGAGGATGAGAACGATGATGAGGACAATGATGAACAAGCAGACAGCTATTCTTATTATCAGTATAGCTATTGTAATAAATATAATAGCTGTCTTATATTTAGAATAGCTGTCCATATTGTATAATGTATAAAATACTAATCTATATTTGCATTTTAAAAACCTTAACTGTATGATCTGCAATAATATATGCCTCACATAAGCCACAACCTGACCCTAAATGCGATGATCCCAGAGCCACGCAGACCCGCCACTATACCGACGAGCTGCCAGAAATCTACTTTGGGGACATTGAGCTGGCCCCCGGTCAAATGGAAAAGCCCCTAGAGAAGATGGAGTTACAACCGAGCTCTTAAAAGCTGGGAGTCAACCCTTGCTAAAAGAGCTCTCTCGGGCTTCTAACTGCATCTTACGAAATGGGAGAACTCCAAAAGCGTGGAGCAAAAGCATTACAGTCTTGTTTCACAAGAAAGGTGACAAGACTATGCTAAAAAATTATCGACCCATCTCGCTTCTGAGCCACGCCCATAAGTTGTTTTCGAGGGTCATCACAAATCGACTCACGCAAAGACTCGACGACTTTCAGCTGCGGAACAGGCTGGGTTTCGAGGAGGATTTGGCATTATAGACCACATTCACACAGTGCGGCAAATAATACAGAAGACAACAGAGTATAATCAGCCCCTGTGTCTTGCATTTGTGGACTATGAGAAAGCCTTTGACTCCATTGAAACATGGGCTGTTCTGGATTCTTTGCAGCGGTGCCAAATTGACTGGCGGTACATCGAAGTGCTGAGATGTCTTTACGATGTCCGTCCAAGTACAGGACAGTCAAACAAAACCAATCCAGTTGCATCGCGGAGTGAGACAGGGGGATGTTATATCCCCTAAACTGTTTACAAATGCACTGGAAGATGTTTTTAAAACGTTAGACTGGAAATGACGCGGTATTAACGTAAACGGCAAGTACATCTCACACTTACGCTTTGCTGATGATATCGTCGTCATGGCAGAATCGCTGCAGGAACTTCAGGATATGCTGAACAGACTAAATTAATCCTTTCAACGTGTTGGTCTGTGCATGAATCTGAACAAGACAAAAGTTATGTTCAACGATCACGTCATGCCAGTTCCAAATACTGTTGATGGTGAAATTCTCGAAGTTGTCCAAGAATATACCTACCTCGGGCAGATATTGCAACTAGGTAATAATAAATTCGAGAAAGAAGCCGATCGGAGGATTCAGTTGGGCTGGGCAGCATTTAGAAAGCTCCGTCGGGTTTTCACGTCGCCCATACCGCAAAGTCTGAAGACAAAAGTCTTAAACCAGTGCGTTCTGCCCGTACTCACTTATGGTGCCGAAACGTGGACACTGACGATACGTCTGCTCCAAAAGCTTAAAGTCGCTCAGCGAGCAATGGAAAGAGCTATGATCGGAGTTTCTCTGGTAGACAAAATTCGAAATGAAGAAATCCGCCGGAGAACCAGGGTTACTGACATAGCCTTCCGTGTTTGTAAGCTGAGGTGGCAATGGGCTGGTCATGTCTGTCGCAGAGGTGACAACCGGTGGAGTAGACGTGTTATGGAGTGGAGACCGCGTCTAGGCAAACGTAATGTGGGACGCCCCCTGACCAGATGGAGCGACGATCTGCGCAAAAGGGCTGGTAGAAACTGGATGCGTGTAGCCGAAGATCGGGCTAAGTGGCGCGCCTTGGGAGAGGCCTATGTCCAGCAGTGGACTGCCGCAGGCTGATGATGATGATGATGATCTGCAAACTATTAAATGGAAAGGTCACACTCCGGTCAAACAACAAAAGAATTACGAATAGTTATATATAGCACCCATATGGAAAAGCACATTTCGATAGTACTGCGGGTTAATTTATTTTGTCTGTTGAATTTTTAAGAAAAAACCATATTGGATATGGATTTTTAAACCCTTGGAATGCAGACAGATATTCAAATTATAATAATAAAAATGCATGCTGATGTAGGTGCTACTGACTTCATCTCGTCCATGACGTCCTCCATGGCGATGTTGTATAGCTCGCCGAGACGGATGAGCCAAAGGTGCGAGGGTGAGTACACCTCGCCAACCATAACTTCTATCATTGCGCCAGGTTCCAGCCCGTCCAGTGATGGGGCCGGGATGCTCTCCATGTAGTGAAGACAGTCCTCGGGGAAAACGTCCGGGTCCTGTCGTCCAGATAATGCCATACAATACACATTTCAAGTAATACTTTAAAAGTTACATGTTACAAGTTATGCTTTTACTATTGGTTTGGAAAAACCTGAGAACCACCAAAAACCCAACGGTATTTTACAATTAATATAGTAACATATTAAAACTTTTAAAACACTTTCTTACAATACAAAAATTGTTTTCTAGAGCCTGGACAGCCAAGGAAATTTTTAACTTGAAATTTTATTACTACTTTATCATAATAATATGCTTAGTTGCTACAAAGGAACAGCATAAGTGAAATCTGTGTTTAGTTTAAGACTTAAATATAGGATAGTGAAAAACATACACTGTAATCACAGTGAATAGCAGTTCTATGGGTAGTTAACAAATTGAAGCCTTAATTCTTACATATATAAATGTTTTCATAGCACCAACTTCGAAACTATTATGTAGATAATATTTTATTTTTGCAAATTCGTTTTAACTTTTTTTTAAAGTTTAGTTTTTATATCTCATAACTTAGGAAAATCACGCACAGAGTAACAACTAGAGGGTCATTTAAACAATTGACCCACCTCTAGGGGTGGAGTCTTTTTTGTATGTTCATTAACTGACAACAGCCTGTACATATAGAATACACTCATTATACTTTTTCCACTATGTAATTGTATTTTAGACAGATGGAACTAATGATTGCAAGAAAATATTAAAACAAATACAAAAACAAAAGTACATTATAAAGTATTTCATAACAAATATGATATTTATTACGTTACTCGCCGTTTTTTATTGACATTTAATTAGTTTTAATTTATTACAATAAAAACACAGTCATCTTGTTTATGGTAATAAATCCAAGTCCTAGCCACACTGATGTGATGCCACCGCCGCCATGTTGTTTATTAAACACTCGCTACGACATGCCAGTGGCGAAGCCTCTATACACGCCCAGAAGCCCGGCTTGCCTCATTAAGATGAATCAATCAATTACATCAAGTAATAAAATAACTCGTAAACTGTTTCAAACTATTTCAAATTTCCCGCGCACTCTGTTCGACCTCGTAGCCTTACGAATACTGCTGTCATACATATAAGGAGAGTTGAATTGAGCGATTGGTTTTCTCCCTCGCACGCGTGGGCTTTTTACCGGGCTTTCGAGAAGGCGATCGCTCCCTTTCTAACCTGTGGCAAAATGTTCTATAATGAAATATAACTACGAAATGTTTATATAGCAATTACTATTGAGCCACAAGCCTGGCTTTTCCATGAAATTGTTTAGGAGTGCGTTAACGACCAGCGAATGGGTGCGGGCCATTCGTATGCAAGTTCACTTCACATTTCAATGTTTATGTTTGTGTTTGTTAAATATTTATACTTTTTCAAAGATTTTCAGTGAAAATGGGAGGATAATAGTGTTCATTGTGATGAATGTAAGTGTGTTGAAGTGCTAATCGACGAGGAAAAGGTAAAATTTTTAAAAATGACTCTCTACAGGACTCTTTAGTATTAAAGTTTAATTAAGTTAGGCGTATTTAAAGGTTTAATAACTCAATATTTATATTACTATATGAATTAAAAATATCAATTTTAACGGCAGCATAAAATATGAGACACCTAGGTTTAATTTTATAGGAAATAAATGTTACAATCTTTTTCAACGTGAAGTCCAAATTTTAATGTAATAAATCAAAAGAATACTGAAGAATGTATTGAGATTTTTAAAGAATACTTACTCCCTTTAGTTACTTCCAGTATATAAAATGTTAATAGCGCCATCTACTTAATTCTATAGGTAGTCATTTTATCGAACGAAAATTGGATGAATCTCACGATGGTACCTAAAGATTACGCTAGATGGCACAAATACGCTATCGGCTAATTTATATTAACATATGAGTTTAAAAATATAATTTTGTACGGTTTATTATTAATTGAAAATGAATACCTGATTATATAATAAATAGTCATTATTTTATGGTAAAAAATTAGCAAAGCTTTATCTTCTCATTATAACTATCTAATTCCTGCCGTAAGCTGTTCTTTTATGCATATAACTTAAACAAAATAATTTCGAGGTTTCACATCTGCCAGGCGTCCCTTTTTAACTTTGTACATAGTTTGTTTGTACTTTGTTCATGCTTTTTTTTTGTTCATTTAACCGCCATTGAGCCGCAACAAAAAGTGGTTAAATGCGTAGTGAAAGAATGCTATTCAAGGTCACAAAAACGTATTAAATCAAGCGGAATCACTTTCAACACATAATTTTTAGTTCTTGCTTTCATATAAACGTAAAAAACCTCAAAAAATAAAATAAAATTATCGAATATTGCCATTTAGGTTCAATGTTGCCACTTTTCCGCATTTGTGATTATCCTACATTAATGGGAGGCTATAATATAATTAATGGAGTAAGTTAATTTTTTACCTCTGATTTAAAATATTTTTCAAATTATAATAAAAAGTACGTTTTAACATTCATACAAAATAATTAATTATTCTTATTTTACTTTATTCATGAATTATCTATTAAATATATATTACCTATTTTATATTAATAATTTTATATTAATTATAATTTCATATAAATTTTATATTCATCATATTTTATTACCTATTTTCTATTGTTTCATTTATTAGTACAATAAAAATACGTTTTATTTCATCATTATGTTTACTTCTATTCATCTGATGAGCTTTGTATCCTTTTTTTCTAAGGTGAAGCAATAAAGATTTTAAAATAAAATATACTTTTTTAATATAAAAACAATTAACTGCAGCTTAAAAAATTTTAGATAAAATTTCATATAGTAAGCCACACCAACCCGCCATTACATGTTTGTGTGTCTATCTTTATCTAATCTTAGCGACGATATTGTTTTCGCAACTTGTGTAAGTAAGACAGATATATGTTTATTTAAAATTGTTATTATAGTCGACCAAATCTAAGAAATACCTTTTGACGTTTCACATTAATCATTTCGTCATAACTTTGCACAAGCGTACTCACACGATTCAAAATAACTTTTTACGTAAATCCGAAAATCAATTCATAACGAATTATCAAATTTAAATTCGAATCTTTCCAAAATATTTAAAAATAACCAGTATCAACCTTTTTTACTTGACGTCGTTTCAATGATATGTTGCTATGTACCTAACCGTAGTGGATCATTAAAATTCATTGTTATGCGAATAATCGGCAAAAATATTCAAATAATCGGTAAAAATATTCAAATAATCGAAACATTAATTTTTTAATATATTATTTGTTTAATTAAATTTTTATTTAATGATTTCTTAAATTTACGCGAACACTACACATTGAATAAAACTATTATTTACGGATTCTATCGCGTTTAGTTAAACTTTAATTTAATTTATTTTTACTATAACGTCGGGATAATAAAAATAACATAGGTCAAACAAAAAGATCTATTAAAATCCGCGTGAAGGAACATATAGCTGACGTGAAGCACCGACGCTCCGGGAAGTCTGCAGTCTGCGAACATGTTCAAGATCGTCCCCACCATTACATTAGATTTGATAAACCACAAATCCTCGCAAAAGAACTCCGATTCCTACCAAGGATGATACTCGAGGCTATTGAAATTAAAAAAAACATCCAAATTTTAATAGAGAAGATGGATGGGTGCTGCCAGCTGCTTGGGATCCTATAATTTACAAAATTAAACCCAAACCCAAGCATACCACTGCAAGACTTCATGATACTATAAGCTCATTTTGCGTAAATCGGACCAAAAATTTATATTCAAAAACTGAAGGTAGCCGGACTAACTATGACATTGGGACGTCAAACATCTCAGTCCCCCGCGACCACGGGTGCTGTAAAGCACCCGAAACGTCGGGATAATAAAAATAAATTAAATTAAAGTTTAATTAAACGCGATAGAATCCGTAAATAATAGTTTTATTCAATAAATTTTTATTTTTAAAATGCCTTAAATTACATGAATATTGAATAAAACAAGTTTATTTTTTTTACTTTGTGAACGTAATTTTGTGAAGGTAAAAAACTCATATTATATATATATATATATATATATATATATATATAAATATATATATATATTTTACGTGGTAGAGCCATGCTGCAGTTATATTAGAAGTATAGTTCTAGCACGAATGGGTCGGCTCGACCGGGGAAGGACCACGCTCTCACAGAATACCAGCGTGAAATAGTAGCTTAATGCTGCTATATTTCGTATGGTGAGTGTAGAGAACCGGAGACCCTTTTTGCTGGAAATGAGGCATTCCATCTTAGTCCTCACGGGTGACAACGCATCTGCATTTTGATTCGTAATCGAGGATAGATGTGGATGTCTATGGGCCATAGCAACCACTTACCATCAGGTGGACTGTGTGCTCGTTTGTCACCCTATCCTATAAAAAACTCACATACAAGGTCGCGCTGAACAAACCACTACGTATTTCAACCTCTCGCCATTCCGTGACCTTACTGTGCGTAATTTTGTGATTTTGTGTTTGTCTTCTTATTTTGTGACTCGGCTTTAACTTTTTGTACCGTTTCTTCTATATTCGTTGAAGCATGTGCCCATGTCACAAAGGATGATTGGGCAAGTGGTAGAAAAAACAAAAATATTTGATTATGGATGACTTTGAAAGAGACATTAATTTTGATTGCATTATTGAAAATGTAATAATTAATCTAAAGTACACAGCATTATGGACCAACATATAGACCGTATTGAAGGAGCTCCGCGGGAGGTACTACAAGGGCTCTCCATGAGCTCTTCGTAGATACAGTCGCCTCCCTCAACTGGCTACGTTCCGGTGACCTCTTCGGGGAAACCGAGGGTTTTGTCTGTGCAATACAGGCTATTAAGACCAACAATTATCGGAGATACATCCTAAAGGATGGCACCGTCGACGTCTGTGGAGCTTGTCGCCATCCCGGTGAGTCACTTAGGCATGTTATCTCCGGTTTTTCAGAGCTTTTTAACTCTGAGTACTTGCACAGGCACAACCTAGT